CTCATTTTGCCACATCTGTATTCATTTCTGTCATTACTAAGAAGCCTCCAGCCCCTCTTTGTTATTAGTTCAAACTAGAGCTTCAGAGCAAGCTACCAGAACTAACCACAGGAGAGAGAAAAATCTTGGAATACAAAAATCTGAATTATGAAGCAGCCTTGAACTACAAATATACAAGGTGGAAATGTAAATTTCCTATGTGCTAAAACAGTACACTAAACTGGCTTGTTTTGAATAAACAGAAAATTCAAGTAAAAATGCAAATCTCACTGGCATGAATGATAGTTTTATTTTGCACCACATCAAGTTGAAACAAACTTCCCCGCAATTTTTGCATGTTCTTAGTTACAGAGATTGGGTCTCATTCCAGTGCCTGTGTATTTTACTTGGAGCAGCTATTAACTTGTCACTATTTTAATCCTGTTTTACTACAGCATGAAGCACACTGATAAAAAAATCCATTATTCAACATTGAGATTATATAAATTACTCAACATTGAAATTATATAAATCACACAAAATTCCAAAAGTTTGACACATACTTACCTTGTACTATCCACTCACAGCATTATTCAGTACGATCAACATTGCTCATCTCCCTGGTCTCTATCTGCTGTTAATCATGAATAGTGTGGCTGACATCTAACCTCAAAGACTAAATCAATCAGCAGTGCTTTAAAACAATGCCTGCGCAGATTAATAGTAACTTGGAAAAGTTTTGTTTCTAAATCTCACTGTACCCCAATACCACAGAAACCAGAGAGAGGAAAAAAGTTCCTCAAGACATTTTTCTATGCTCCCACGGGCCTAAGTTTTCTTCTACCAAACATTGTGTTTTTCCAGCGCCAGACCCGTTCTAAATGAAGGAATGCAGAAGCTTTGCATGGCTCAGCCTATTTTCATGGGCAAAAAGCAGGGAATAAAATGTCAAGCCCTGATTATTATGGGGTTGTTTTTACTCAACAAAACAATACGTATTGCCATGGTGTAGACATCTTGACAATTGTCTGCTTATCCTAAATTTTATTTCAGATGACTAGTATTGGCTACTTACAAGCAGACCTGGCTGGAAGAGCCACCTTCAACCCAAAGATCTGAGCTTTGCCAGCAGCGGCGCTGGAGGAGGTGCACTGGATTCTCCATGCAGAGCATGCACAGCAGGCAGCAAACCCTGCAGCCCGACACGCTGCAGGACAGGCGAGCCAAGGAATGCTGCGGAACAACATGGTGCTCAAGCACACGCGTCTCTATCACAAAACAACCCTTCTAGAGGCCACGCTGGTTTGTGCACCCGTGGGAGTTAAACTCCCAGGCAGTCTCCTTGTGACTGTCACCCTGGGACAAATGGCAACGTTGGCCTTCTGTGGAAGGGGCTAACAGCGGGCCTGTTAGCTAAAGGAGCGAGAAGAAGCTGAGAAGGAGCTCTCTCCAAGGCTGTAACCAGGGAGACCAAGAGGACTGAAGAACTGAAGAAAGATAAGAAGAGAACTTCACAGCTGCACAAAGTATATTTAGAAAGTTAATTAAGTCACTGTAACTTTTCACCAATGGTGATTTATTGTGTCCAATAGTTAGGGTAGAAGAAGCATAAACAATTAGAAAGTGTATAAAAGGTCAGCCATGTTCATTAATAAAGAGTTGCCATCTGAGACTGCTTGTGGTCTCTGCTTTGTGTTGTGACCGCCTCGACAACGTTGGCCTTCCGGTCAGTGTAGGCCCACCCTCCCTAAAGCTCAACATTTTTGGATACTTCAGATACCCCCTACTGTGCTGATGGGTAGATTTCACGCATTATCAACACAAAATCTGGGTCAGTGAAGCTCTGAAAGGTGTCAAGGGCTCATGGCACCAACAGTCCATCCCACAACTTGAGCCCCCATGTCAGCCCCCTGGGGCTGTCATCCCCTGTCCCAGTGATGCCACAGCCCAGCCCAACCTGGCCATGGGCCTCATCAGGCCAGATCCCAGTGCAGACCAGGTCCCAGCCTGCTCTCAGCCCATTCCCAGGGATGTACCAGATGGGCTGGGGCTGCCCTGGTGTCCCCCAGAGACCCTGCTCTGTGCTGGGACAGCGGGACGGGCCAGGCTCAGCCTTGCTGCCTTTCCGTGGGGAACCCCCACTGCTAGACCCTGACAAAATTCATCCTTGAGATGATTCAGAGAAACTCTGATGGGGTCCAGAGCAACAAACCAGAAAAAACAAATGAAAGACATTTTATAAGGCACATCTTGGTTACTTCAAGCACTCTAGCCTGCCACGCTGCCACGGGTGTGATGGAAAGCAGCTGAGAAGTAAGGAGCAGAAGATTCCTCAGGAACAGCATGTCTTCAGCAGGGTTACTGGGCTCAGCTCTGGTCATGTCAGCTCAAAGAAGAGAAGAAAGGCAGAAACAAAGAGATCTTAAAACATATTACTAAGAGCATTGAAAGGGTCTCTTTTTTATAAAGAGACACTGGAAAGACTGAATCAGCTTAATTCAATGCCTCTCCAAATACTAAGGGCAGAACATAGGACACAAAATAGTAATGAATAAGCTCCTACTCTTATAAAATAGGAACGTTCAAAAAACTTAAATGATCCTTTTTTGGACTGGGAAGCTAATTTCTGGAAGCAAAGATTGTGGTACAATTTGTAATATAATTAACATTTAAATTAAGAAATATAATACAAAGAATGACCCAATAAAATAATAAATATTGAGCTAAGCAGCAAAAAGCTCTAGGTAATGGAGGTAAGGGAAGATAACCACCCAGACTCATTTCAGTCAGCTATTTCTGTAATTAGTTTGGCTAATACTGCAGGCAAAACTTTTTTTAATGTAATAGGACAAACTACAAATTTCAAAGTATGTTTGCAAACTGAATTATATTCTGAGTACTTTCCACAATGATAATCATAGCCAATATAGACATTAATTAAACCAAAGTAGTTCTGCCTGATGGACTTTCTGAGACACTCTGGTAATTACTGAGGACTCAAAGGAAACAATGTGATCTGCTTTGCAGAAGTGTACTTCAAAACAAAGCTGAAATTTCCTAAGATTTACCAATAAGTCAATTTACTGGCTGTGATGGTACCAAACCAAGATGAGATGTTCATCAGAAGATCACACACCACTGCTCTTAGACTTCAATGGCAAATGCAGTTTGAGCAGGAGGGAGAAGAGTCACAAAATCTAGTATAAAAGTTAGGCATGTGAGTGAAATATTACAACTGGATCACTGAGCTGTGTTTACCCAACAGAGTTGGTTCTTTGATATGCATGATCATCATCAAGAGTGTACAAGTTCACAGGCTGGTCTCCTAGTTGCATCTGCTACTGCTGGAATCTGTAATGGACCTGCAGAGGTCATTTAGTGTCTTTGACAACAGGAAGGCAGGCTCACATTTGTCTTAAGGATTTCTGGTGATTGGTTGGACATTATATGCTCAATTATGTGTATTAGACAGAACTTTCCCTATCAATTTAACCTAATCTCTCCTGCAGCAGCTCAGCAAGCTGACTCTTGTAATATCTCAACTGGATGTGGAGAAGAGTTTGCTTTCCACCACTCTGCAGAAACCAATTACACATTTAAAGATTGTTACCACATCTTCATCAGTTTTTGCTTCCCTAGACCACAATATTACAGTTCTTTCACTGTTTTCCCAAAGATTGTGTTTCCTAGATCTCTGACCACCTTTGGCTACTCATCTCCTGCTGAACTAGTAAGACTGCTGGAACTTTGGTGTCCAGAATCCCAGACAGTACTGATACCAGATACAAACCCCAAAATCACAACTACCAAGAGGTGCCATCACACAACTGCTACAATCCTGTTATGAATCCCCAAATTAAATTTTTGATTTTGCACATCTTTAACATGTTGTATCCTGTCAAAGTCTTCATGCTGAAAAATAAATTTCCTAAGGAAACTCCTTAGCACAATTCTTCAAAGAAATATTTTGTGCTCATCCTTTAGTTCAGCATTATGTATTTGAATAAATATTTGAGTGATACGTATAATAAGAACCACAATCAATAAGGCTTGGAGAAAATTTCCAAGTAAGTTTACTAACTCTAACAGATCCACAAGGCTTTCTCAGGTGCCTGAAAGCTGGAAGACTTTCAGAATCAACCAGTGGACAGGTTTTTAATCCTCAAAGACCAGATCCTTTCAGCACAGTAAATACTATGTACATCTAAGCATTACACAACCAAATAGTTAATAATCAGAATTGGCCCAAGGAGCAAATTTTTCCTTTCAGGTACAGAAACAAGTATAATGACAGTTATTATGAACCTGTCTACTTTACTAATTCTTGTAAAATTTGTACTCCTATGTCAGAACCTATTAAAGAAGTTAACCAGTAACCCGGTACTGGTTACAGTGCAAGAATAAAGCAAATTTCTGTATGGCACAGAAAGACACAGCAGGACATAAATTATTTCATCTCGTGCCAATAAACTAAGCGAGAGTGTCATGCTAGTCCAATCTTCCGCACGCACCGCAGTCACGCTGCAAAAAAAAACAAAAACAAACAAACAAACAACAAAAAAAAACTGTGTCACCCTGCATCAGTGACACAGTCCACTGTCAGCTCCCTGCTGAAGGGGCACAAGTTCCCTTATCTCAGCCCCCGGTGCCCACGGCCGGCTCCCGCGTTGGCTGCCGGGCTGCGGAGCGATGCCCGAGGCCGCCCGGGGGCTGCACCTGCCCGCGCCTGGCCCGTGTCTGTCCCCGTCCCGGCTGCCCCTGCAGCCCCGCAGGGATGCAGCCCGCCCGGCCCCCGCTTCCCCGGGCCCCTCTGACCTGCAGGCGGCCGCTCGCCGTCCCTCCGCGGCCGCGGTTCCCCCCTGCCGCCGGCTGCTCCCGCTGCCGACGGCCCTGCCTGGCCCGCGGCCCGCCCCAGTGCCGCCCCCGCCGGCCCGCACGGCCCCGGCTCCGACGGGCTTTCCCCGCTCGGGAACAGCGTCCCGGCCCCGCGCTGCACCGGGGATCAGCGAGCTGTTGGATACCGGAGGGACAGGCCAGTGGTTTGAAGTAGTTTGGTGATATGCTCCTGCCCATCAGTCAGCATTTCTTCTCCAGGTGAAGGGACAGAATGACCTCTGAGTCCTGGCCTCAGAGATTGCTGTGTCCAGGAGACAGACTGGAGGGAACACTTCGTGTTTAGACAATAAGCATATGACTTCCATGTGTAAGGAGGTTTTACTAAAAGCAGGAGCTGGTGTTCCTCACCTACTTCACAAAAACTTGGAGAATCCCCACACTTGAAAGAGGTGTGTGAGCCTGCCTGGCTCAGGTGAAGCAGTATTTAAGACCTCTGGGGCCATTTCCTAATTAATTATTTCAGATTGTACCTAGGTAATTGATGTTCCGCATGCCTGTTCCCGCACATCCATGAAAGCTCTTGGAGGAACATCAGAGCTGTGTCACACAGCCCTTTCCCTTCTCTACAAGAATGCATGTGGAGAAAAGCATTAAGTAAATAACACAGCAGTGTTATTTTTCATCAGACTGTGTACCAGGCTAACATGGGTCTGAGGCTGATAGGTGCAAAGGGGAGTGCAGCTTCCCTGGTTCTCTAGTGAATAAAGCACACCTACATTAGAAACCAGTGTGGCTTCTTGATGCCAGCAGTCTCAAGCAGAGGCTTCTTGCTGTCACACTCAAGGCCCTTACCCCCTCTGCCACTGCCATTTTCAGGGTCTGGGGCCAGCTTGCTATCTTGATGCTTTTCCAAAACATTGTGGGTTATTTGTACTGTGGGCACACCAGTATCCATGACCAGTTCATCTATTTTGTGGAAGAGACCTCATCCACTCTCTTCCCCCAGATGTTTCCTGCTTGCCTTATACCCATGCCTATGTAAAACCTTGTGTTTGCAAAGTTCTTTCAGCCAGGAGACAAGTCCGGCTTCAAATGTAGCCCCAATAAGCTTTAACAGGAAGCCTCTTTTGAGGATCACTAAAGAGCATCAGATTTTTGTGAATGAACAAGGCAGGAAGTGTCAGTGTTGCCCACTCACGTACAAAGTTTAGCCAAACACCTCCACATTTGACAGAAAGGGTTTTCACCTTTCAGTTAAGTGCAAATAAGACAAAAATTTTAAAAATCAACCCTGCTGTTGTCTGCCTCCCCTACCACAGCAAAGGATTAAAAGATGCTTTTCTTTCTAAATTATATCCCAGAAAGGCACTATTTGGGGACATCTGAAAGAAACATCCTTGATAGTTTCCCATTCTTCCTCTGACCACATGTGTGGGAAACTGAGCAGCTCAGCCATAAACAAATGTATATTTCACTTTATGATGATGCAGTTTGATTGCTGTCAGTGAATTCATTCATATATATGTGTATATACATCTGTCTGAAGACACACACATATGTCTTATTTTCTGTATAGTTTTTTTTCCACTTTTTTAAAAAGGAGCTTCTAGAAGAGAAATGTTTAAGAAGTTCTGCAAATGAACTGCCATGGAGTAGACAATACCTACTTCAGCTAAAAAGAGTTCATGAAAAATCTTAATAACTATACCATGGGCAGAGTACATAATAGCAAATTCCACCCTAAGAGGGTTTAAATCTGACAGAATCAATATTTTTTTGAATTGTAGCACCTCTAGGCCATTGTTTGTACAATGATGATATTTCTGTTTATAGCATGAAAAATTTCCCACCATTCCTGGCCAATGTATTGTGGCTCCTTAAGCACAAATCATTTACAAACTTGGATGACGCTCTAACCAATCTATCTCCTATGAATGACTTTAAAAATAATATAACACTCTATTTATAAACTTTGCTTTTAACTGAATCTATAGATAAGTCTGGAAAATTGCAGTAATAAAGCAGTGGTCTTGTGGCAAATCTACCATTGATCTCCCAGGCTTCACAAAAAAACCCCAAATCTTTTGTTTAATTTGCACCAAAAAATGAGATAGAAGTATAAGTCTTATAAGTAAAAAAGGGATAGAAGTATAAGCCCTTATCCTGGTCATGGTAGAAGAGATGATGCACAAAGTGGATGTGAACACAGCCCCCAGTAGATCATCATGTTGCTACCATGTTTATTCACTCATTAATATTTTCCTACTATCAAATTATTAAAATGGTGATTTTTTTTAGCTCTTTGCATGTCAGTAGCATTTGACATTATTTACTAAATAATGAGTCTGAAGAGGGGAAAAAAAAATGTTCTTATGTAAAGCATAAAACAGTATGGTGCCCAGTGAGGACATGCAGAAATGAAATGAAATGAAAAGGCAGTCTAAAATCTAAGCACAAATTGCATCCAAATTAGTCATTTTGAGGTCTCCACTACATTCCTATCTAGATTCAGGCAATCAAAAATTGTGTCATCCTCCTCCCACACTGTGAAAGTTCTCGATGCCTTTCTTTGTCTCAGGATTCTGTGGTTTCAAATTAAGTTTCTGCTTATTTTACAATCAAGTTGCATTAGCCAAGGCTATGTAGACAGAAAATTGTTTCCTTGTGGAAACTCAGGAGGAGCACTGATATTACCTAAACATATTGAAGATTGAAATTTTATTGACTGGGATTAAGAAATATACCTTTCAAAACCTATATACCTACTATTTTCCTATGTCTATCTTCCTCCTCCTGAAACACACATCACACTCTGTAGCCCTTGTTCTTCCTTGCCCAGGAAGAATTTTAATTTTTCCATTTTTTTTCCCTCAGTGAAATTTTAAAGGATAGAATAGATAGGAACATAGCTGTGCTGTGTCAACAAAAAAGTTCGGAAAATAAAAAATGCACGTCAATAAACATTTCATTATTATGTAGGCCTACTGCTGTAATGACTTGTATACTCAAGTCAGTGTGCAAGTACTCAGAAGTACTTTACTCAAAAGTGGCTTTAGTGAGAATAATTCCATGGTGTGTATATGGTGTGGATAGTGTTTGCAGTGAGGATGTGAGTCATGGACATAGCATGACTCAGCACTGGAGAAACCATGTGAAAGTCAATTCTCCCAAGCCCCAATTAACCAGCCACAAATTCTCCTTTTTTTCCCCCCAGCTGCAACACAGGGCCCTTTCCCATGTCCTTCAGGGAGGAACAAATGGAGCTGACAAAGTGGTGGGGCATAAAAGACTGGTCATGAACCAGCATCTTTTAAATTCATATACTGTTCTGCATAATGGTTCAAAAATACACATATTTAAATAATTTCCAATCAATAGTGTTCAGGTCATGTAGTTTCATTGAGTTACATCAGCTTCTGTATTTGTCACTAGCGATCACATGCAAAACAGTGACATTTCTACACATTGTAGACAGGTACACTGATATTCCTTGTCTATGACCCTGAGATTAACTCAGTTGATGAGAGGATGATGCTAATAATACCAAAGTTTCAGGTTCAATCCTAGTATGGGCTATTTGCTTAAGAGGGGGACTTGATAATTCTTGTGGATTCCTTCCAATTTTAAATATTCTGTGCTTCAAAATTAAAAATATTTTTTGCTAGCTTCAAGCATTTCTGCTCTCAGACTTGTCTGACCTGAAGTTTCAGTGAAATTCTGTGCCTATTTTTACTTTTATCCATGCCTAAAATCAGCCACTAAATAGTAGGAAGTCAGCCATGAACCAATAAGATCAGAGATAATTGTAGACACTGAGCCAGCCCAATTTACACCTGTGTATTACAGGTAATTCTCATGGGATCAAGCCCACTCTGGTAAATAGCAAAAATTCTTTACACCTCAGCAGATGTCCCATACATAAAGTGTACTTATGGTTCTGATAATCGTATATTTGCCTGTGAATGGCAAAATTTAGTAAGAGATTAGGCTGTGTTTAGGACACCAGGGTGTCACCTCACACCCTAATGAGGTTGTATTCTAAACAACATCAAGATTTAGAAAGGTGTTACAAATGAGCGTTTTAAGGTCGCTTAAATAATCACCAGCAAAGGAATCAGCAAAACCAGATTTAACATAAAAGCAACAGCACAACAATGGGGACAGATGCACCACCTCAGAAGGAAATGCTAATAAACACAGGTTCTATAGTAATCACACCACTTAGAATTTATGCTTTAGAGAACTAGCAAGGCAAGACACTTAATTATGCTGTCAGCAACCACATCACACTCTTAAACCGTCTCTGCAAGAGCAGGTTGTATTTTAAGGGACAGAAATTCAACAACCTTACAGCAAACCAATGTTTCTGTATTTTCCATCACTTCTCCAATAAACGTACTTTGCTTTACCATAGTATGCATAGTCAAGATTCTGAAATGAATTCTGGATTGTTATGGTGAGCAGGGACTGGTGCTGGTAAAAGAGAAACTAGAGCTAAGGCATGAGAGAAACAACTGGAAAATAGTAGCTGGAGCCCAGGATTTGCAGAACAGAAGTTTCCACAATCCCTGTCATTTAAGCCATTGCTTAAAATAAGCATGGTTGAAAAGCTGTATTTTCAAAGTTCAAGAGACTGCTCTTTACAGTTTAGTGATGTAGGCCCTCCAGGCTAGTGATACAAACACTTAAATTGGCTGTCCACTTTTGGATCCCTGTCTCTGTGTAAACACTAGGCAGAGACTACTCCATGAACATTTAAACTAGGTCTTTATACAAATCTGGAATGAAATTACATAATGTCAATAGCTCTTATGAATGAAATGGGTCTTTACAAAAGGGGTAGTGCATTTGATTTTCAGTTACAGAACATCAACACAGAAGACAGGAGTATTTAAAATGCACAGAGACTTCTAAACCTGGAAAATAGGCATTTCTTAGACTTATGAGAGTTTACAGAAATATTAGAGATTTCTATCCATTCCAAAAAATAAAACTAAGAGGCTCCCCATTTTTCACTGCACAATGCTATATTAGTTCAATAGTCACTTTGGCACCTTTAGACTTTTTTTTTTCATCCTTAAACTAAGAGAGGGCAGGCTAGTTACTAGGTTAGATATGGATTAGATATTAGGAAGAAATACTACAGTGTGAGGATAGTGAGACACTGGAAGAGGTTGCCCAGAAAAGTTGTGGATGGCCCATTCCTGGAAGGGTT